AATAGCAAACATCTCAATTATTCAGTCTTGAAGCACTAAATTATTTCAAATTAACCGTAATGCCACGAAAACTCATGATTCGAGCGTACCTATTCTCAGAATTTTAGAACAATCAAATAACAAAAATACACAAAAAATTGCTGCATTTTCAGACGCGGATCCAGAAATTTTTTCCAGGGGTGGGGTCCACCCCAGTCAAAAAAAAATTCAATCCCCGAAATTTCTTGACAAGCAAAAAAAAAAAAAAAAAAAAAAAAAAAAACTAAACTCGCCCAAACGTCAAAAACCTATTTCGGGGGAGGGGGAGGGGGGGGGAAGTGGTAACTTCTATTGCCTCAAATCTTTCACTTTTCATACCCATTTCACACATATTCACATTGTTCGCATTTACCAGGGTGGGGGGGGGGGGTCAGCGTTTTCTAGGGGGGTCCATGGTAACTTTTTTCTTGTTTTAGTATATACATCTTTTAACCTGGTAAATTGCAGGGGGGGGGGGTGCTGAACCCCCCCCCCCCCCCCCTCTAGATCCGCGCATGATTTTTAAAGAGCAGAATTATACAAGATACTTTTTTCATTACAGCTGATACTTACGTATAAAGAATTAAAAGACGATCCAAAGAAAGGAAATGGCACATTTGTTGAAATGTTTGATGTATAACTATCATCATTTGAAGCCAATTCACTGTCACCTGCAGCCAAACCAAAGGGAAAAAATTGACTCAGTGGGTAACAAATAACTGTTTGACCAATCAAATACAACATAAAGTATATATATGGAACTGATGTTTTGACTACCATCTTAGAAGTTTCTTTCCCTCTGGTTTAATTTTGACGGGTTCATTCTTTTATATACAAGGACAGGGCTAATCGTACGAGGAAATCATTCGAATAATTTTTTAATTACAGTAGTTAACTATGTTTTAGATTTGCTATTGCTACCAAATAATGTACAGGGGCATAGAGACCGTGTACGATGTGAAAGATTTCCGTGCTGAAGATTCTTCCAGATTCGATTTATTCATGTTGTAGATCTCAGACGAGATGTTTAGACTCGGACAACCCTATACATTGTGGTTATCGAGTGTATGTTGGCGAGACAAAATTGCGTTTTAACAGATATACAAACAAACGAAGTCACTAATGTGTCACAAACTATTGATTTGTAATGACACGTAGAAATCAAAAGAAAACAGCAGAATTATCCTTTTTCAATTAACCACTTAACCACTTTTAGTCAAATATCACATATGTAATTTACAGGGTTTAATTAAAGATAAATCGAAATGTATGTGAAAAAATAGCAACAACAGTTAAAACATCGCGAAAGAAAATGTTTTTACCATGTCTGCAGAATGAATTTAAATATCAGTTGCAGAAAGTGTTCAACCTTAACTGTAGTGTAATTTTCTGTTCTATTCTGTTGCCTGAAGGAATAGGTTAGAAATCGTTTTGCGTGTCTCTTACAATGCAGGTAGACACTATATGATATAATTTAATCCGGAATCTGGTTGTTTGTTCGTCCTTTTTTATACATTATAACCTCCATGGCACCTGATCACACCTCTTATGTTTTAGAGATCCGTGTTTGCTTTGCTCCTGATTTGTAATATTTAATTGACTCTTGAGTTTGAATACTGTTCTTTATCTCCATATTTCTTCTTAGAAAACACAGTGCATTCTAATTGAATGTTTTGCTCACGTTTACTTTGTCGAATTATATTGAAAACATACCAATGAACTTGACCTTCGACCTTCCAATTTTAAAATTAAATTAGTTTTTAAATACAACTGTCCAATGATTTATTTGTTTCAGTCAGTCATAAATGTAATATACAATTAAGCGAAAAGATTTAACTTCTAATAAATTACAGAGAAACATATGAAGATAACGAACATTATACAAGATCAAAAGTTCATGCAAAATAGTAGCAGAGCAAACACGGACCTACAAAACATCAGAGTTGAAATAAAGATATGGATTGGAACAATGTATAATGTGCCCTTATCTACAGTAAAAGAAATTTGAAAGTATTACCAACCGGTCTTATATCCCCAAAATACTTTGAATTGAAATGTCATTTTTTTGTTATATTTTGTAATTTTTTTGCATGAAGGAACTTCTGCTTTGTCCAGGATTAAATTTTACAACATACTCAGGAAAAAAAACCTAGTTTGTATGATCTGCGAAATTTGGATATTCAACTTTGCTCTTCGTGCAAATTATATCTTCCATTTTGTTTTGAAAAAAAAGTGCACACAAAGCTATCGTTAATGACAATTTTCTGTTATGAAACACTCTTTTCGAAAATGGAGATTTTCAAATTTTTACACTCGAAAAGCTAGATATATTCAATCATCTTTTGCATATTTTGTTCAGAGAGTCAACCATTAAATCCAATAAAACTATTTAAGGTAATTTGGTAATGGAATATTAATCCTGAAAGTATTTACAATTTTTTTACGTCTTGATAAGCAGATCGCTTAAAGCACTTTATTGCAACTCTATCTGGAATTCTTCAAATATTTGTTGTCCAATATAGCCGTGATTGTCTCCTCAGCAAATGGTTAAAATTGATTTTTTTTTTTTTGAAAAGAAAGAATGTGCATAGTTTTTAGAAAGTTTCAATGAAGTATTTTCATTATCTAGATCTGTTGATGAACACATTTATTTATCCTAGCTTGTCAATTCACATCAATGTTTTACTGGCACTTCTTGTTTGAGAACACTTGTGCTTTATTTAGATTCTGAACACTTCCAAATTGGAAAAAAAATATTTTAAAAATGATAAAAATGCCAAAGAGGCACTCAAATATCACAAGACTCATAAAAGTACTACAAAGATATTTTCATTTATTTTATGTGCAGTAGAGACTGAAACTCTTACGTGAGAAAACTTTCAAGTCAAAGACCCCAATGATCAAGTATGGAGAGTGTGCCGTCTTATAAAAAATCATTCATGCCGCTTACCTAATTACTTTTTTTCAGAATTAACGGTTAGATACATGGAATTAATGAATTAGTAAATTAGAGACTATTGAACTCCAAACCCCTTCAAGAAATGAAGAAGACACTTTGCACTTTCCTTTAGGACTCTTCTGTCTCCCCATCTCACAGGACCTGCTAATGCTCTCAGTTATAAATGGTACTGATTTCCTTGTATAGTAATTTTGACTTTATATAATATTTTAAGATATTTATTTTGTTTGTTTGTTGATTTACGTCCTTTAGAGGATTTTTCACAAGTGGAGGCGCCATTACTTGTTGGCCGATGGGCTACAAATTTATACATATAAGTTACATATTATGAAAAATAAATAAGATGTATGCAAATAAATTCAAATTTAAAGAGCCAGCCAATTTAATATAGAAGCCAACTATTTCAGGTGGTGTAAATATGCACATTCTAAAATTCTTAAAGACAAGAAAACACCTTACAGAAATTTTTTTTATTAAAAATAAATATTTAAGAACGAGGCAATGCATCGTAGAATATTTTTATTGAGAATAAATAACGTAAAACAGTGCAATGCAGTATATAGTGCAAATATTTTATTGAAAATAGCATTAATTATTGAAAATTAAAAACTTAGATCATTTCCATGCATTTAAGACCATGAAAATAAATATCTTAAAATGCGATGCACCTTAAAACATTTTATTGAAATAAAAAAACCAATTACAATGTAGAACAGTGCAATGCATTTTAGAACATCACAAATTAATTTAATTTAAAGATAAATAAATTAAGGTTTATGCAAAACAACGTGTAATGAACACCCGTAATTGAAAACAATAATGTGACAGAAATCGTTCTACAATATTCTTCAAAAAGCTTTTTACATATGAACAATAGTAGACCACCCACATACATACAAACAGAGAGAGAGAGAGAGAGAGAGAGAGAGAGAGAGAGAGAGAGAGAGAGAGAGAGAGAGAGAGAGAGAGAGAGCGCTCTTACATATGTTACCAAAAGCAATGTTTTATACAAATTTTCAAAATATTATGGTCTCTTTTTCACCTTAGTTATTTCCAAATATCATTGAAAACAGTTCGGACTTGTTAAGGATATATCTAATAGATAACAGAATAAAAAAAAAGATTGACAACAAAGACAGAAAAAAAACATAACACCTTCACAAACACGTTGGATGAGGTCCAGTTAATGTTTTTTCTCGTCTATTTCACATAAATTTAAAATCTTAGGCATTTCTACACGTTTCTGATGAATTTTGCTGGCCTTACATGTTGTATGTTTTCTGGGGTATTGCTCGAAATTGCATTTATTTTTCCTTTTGATTTGGTCAATTTTGTGATTCTTTGCCATAACAGATTTAAATATCCCATTAATGTAGAATAAGTAGAGGAATTTTGTGTCTGTTTTCCGAACGATGTCTTACTAGGTCCTAAAGGTGTATCACTAAAGTAAATGACTCCGAACGTCTCACTTTCATTGTCTCTATAATTAAAATAAACAATTTCACTTGCTTTCAATGTGCAGATATAAAATATTAATGATAAAGTTAACAAGTATTACTGCACGTAATATCAATTCATTTTATATATACATATTTCGAAAATGTACATTGGCAAAACATTTCAAGAAAGCCATTTTGCTGATTCTTATTTTTTAAAAATTTTTTTGTTTATTTGTGAAATATTTAAAAAAAATCAACCATCCGTACCTTTTCATTCTTTTCCACAGATATAATACAACTAGAGCTAATACCAACAGCAGTAATCCTATCAATAATGGTATCAGGTAAGATAAGTTAACTAGAAAGAGAAAATAGACAATAGATAATAAATTAAACGTTTTTTCTCTTTTTTATGAGCCGTTTTATAATTGGGACACTAAATTCAACTGCCATATGATAAGTATTCCATAGACCGCATTCATTCAACAAGAGGTAGCTCATACACCGATAGAAGGACTTTCTAGTACTTGAAGAAATTTGAAAAAAATATTTTTTTTGTGGATAAAAAAATAATATTTATGATATTAATACGTACATTGTGAACAATGTCTGCCATAATATGTTGTATCACAGACACAAATGTAGTTATTAATTTTATCGATGCATGATCCGTGCTTACATGGTGAACTTGAACACTCATCAATTTCTAGAATAAAAAAAGATATAAGGTGAAATAAAATAAACATATTTTCATTGGTTTTTATTTGTTTCACTCAATCAAAATTATTCAATGTTTAAAAAAGGGAATATATGGAATTATAGAATACCTGTCTCACAGTGGACTCCAGAATATCCAGGTACACATTGACAGATGTATCCATTGACTTGATCAGTACAGTTACCATGTATACAGGGAGAACTGGCACATTCGTCAATATCTGTACATAATGATGAAGAGGAAATAATGTAAAACATTGCATGCATTTTTTGTATTCTGCGTACGAAAAAGAAATGATGTAAATGTATAAAATACAAACCTATCTCACAATTGGTTCCGGTATATCCCGCATAACACTGACAAGTGTAGTGATTAATAAGGTCAGAGCAGTTTCCATGAACACAGGGGGAGCTTTGGCATTCATTGATATCTATAAAAGTCAACTTCAAATTTTCAAGAAATGATTCACTTAATATTGTTTTATACCGAATATCATCAAATAGAATTTTTTTATTTTGATGTAATTCAACGTCATTTTTGGCAAATGTAGGGAATGAACAAGAGAAAACTCAATGAAAAAGGCTTTCACTTTTTTCATATAGTTGATTGATATACTACTCACCAACTTCACAATGGGTCCCGGAATACCCCGGCATACAATTACACGTGTATCCATTGATACGATCCGTACAGTTACCATGAACACAAGGAGAACTGGCACACTCGTTAATATCTATAGAAAAATTGAAACTTCTATCATGCTTTTCTTGAATAAATTGTAATAATGAAATTTAAGAATTAAAAACAATTAGATCCTCACCTGTTTGACAGTTTGTTCCTGTATACCCATCCTGACAATGACAGGTATAATGATTTATTTGGTCGGAACAGTTTCCATAGAGACATGGTGAACTTTGACATTCATCAATTTCTGTCCAAAAATAATTTAGAACATTGATCAGCAAATTTACTTCTTTTAAAAAGATACCTTGCTTCAAATATAATTTGTACTGTATAAGTGGAAAATCAGGATAAAGTAGCGAATTCTGTGAATGGCATCGTTTTTACCCACACTTAATCGTCTTCTTGTCGTAGTATTCAGTAGATTGAAACTTTCAGACAGTAAAATTCTTATGATTTCTTTTCTTAATGCCGTCAATAAGTGCAGAGAAAGGAACCAAACAAAATTTTACTATGATCAATTCTAGTTTACTGTTATGCTTTATTACAAGATACCTGACTTTGGCTCACGGATACCTTTTTACTTTAATACTTTTTCTAGTTTATATTATTTAATATTTTCAAATTTTACAACTACAGTAGTACTTTCTTAAATACTTTCAACTCATATTTTACTAAAATAAATTCCTCAATACATTTGTAATATTATATATTTAATGATATTGTAAAATTATAATAATAACGGTTTGAAACATAACTATGGAACATTCTTTAATACTCTGATGCTTAATTTCTTTTTAATAAGTTTGCTTATTATTGTTGATAATACCTGAAGAACCCGGTACTTCAGATAACGTGTACATCTATCCAATTCTTACCAGTTTCACAGTTTACACCTGTGTATCCAGGGTCACAGATACATTCATAATGAAGGTATTCATTGGAACAGTTTCCGTGAACACAGGGAGAACTGGCGCATTCGTCAACAGTATCTGCAAGAATATTGCTAAAACAAGAGTGTTTTCTTGAACAGTAGGATTATATAAGAAGTTTTCGTAGGGATAAACGAAGTTTATAGAAGAACAAACCTGCATTGCTTATTTTTGCTTGATCCACTCTAAATACAAACTGTCCGGGAATACCAATATTAGACATTTGAGGAAGATTTAACACTGCATTTGTCATCGATCCAGGAACTGAATAATAATGTTCTCCATCACCAGCGTTAAACCCCACCTTATAGAGGACACAATATAAAAAATTTAGATTACTAGTAAATTTAACATATATATCATATACTTAAAAATAATATAGGCATTAAGTTTAAACTATATGATCTACTACTAAAATGTTTTGTTACCTGAGCAGATTTTGTCCATGTGATTTTGTTGTAATTAAATACAACAAATGAATAAACACCATTGTTGATTAAAACAAGTTGAAATGTATTCCACTGTCAACATAGCAAATAAAATCATATATAATGCAATGGAAGATATTTTATGTAATGAAGCTCCAAACAATATATTCACGGATCGTTTTTGCAATTTATAACAATGAAGTTTTTGAAAAGAAAATTGACATAATTATTCATGGTTCTGTAATCTCCGTATTCATATAACTTTGTTACCTGTTGACAGCTTATTGCTCCACTAATTATTGTTCCACTAGTGGAACAACCATATGCAGCTACATCCTCCCATGTAATTACCATCATCCACGTGGCAGTGAAACTTACAATATTAGGAAAGAGAGTGTTAATTTTATTCGTTCCTCTTTGTAATATAGTTCTGTCTGTTGTTGTGCGATACCATAATTTACCTCCTTTTCTTGTATCTATATCAGTCCAGAATGGTGCTATGATTCTATGAGAGCCGTTTATTGGGAAGGGTTGTGAGGTAAACTGGCTTAATGGAGTCTCAAATGTAACGTCGCCATTGTTATTGACCTTATAATTTAGAAAAAGCTAAAATAAGTTAATATTGAAAAAAAAATTAATAAGATAAGAAAATTAAATTAAAAAAAAATTATTTAAAAAAATTGCCCTTCTTTCAAAAGAAGCATTACAAAAAAAAAAAGACTGAAAAAACAAACAAACAAAACACAATAATTAAAATAAAAAAGAAATTTTTAGACAATTATTCGGAAGTATACTTTTTTTGCAAACAATCTCCCATGTAAAATGATTGTAAAAGAACACGAAAACTCATCCTTAGAAAAAATTGTATGTACGTACGTAAATTGAGTTATATGACGAACCAAAGAAAGGAAAAGACACACTGATGGGAATTCTAGAAGTGTAGCCGTCGTCATTAGCTGGCAATTCGCTGTCTCCAGCCGCTAAACCATAACTATAGAACCGACTCAAAGGGTAGCAGATACAAATGTTAAGTATTGCTGATACTATTACTACAATCAAAGTTGTATAAGACATCGTTGAAGATAGTTTTGAACTAATATGGCACCAAATTTTTGTTACTTTTATATAGAAAAAATCAGGAAAGTCTGCAACAAGGAAGACTTGCTGAACAACCAATGCTATTGAGTTTACATCAATGTTAATTATTACAGCAAACAAAAATGATTTTTTTTTTCACAGTAGTTCCTTTGAGAAGGGCTAAATAAACTTCTCAGTTTTGATAAAGAATTTTTTTCATGTCTAAAACTGTATCTCTTGTCATACCTTTAATCGGTTACGTGGACATATCGTTAATTTCATAGCAAGAATAAAGTCCCTAGAGTATGATAGATTATCAAGAGGAAAGTAAATCGTTAAAAAACCTACACAGCTGTCAAGTCAAGATGTTCTTCTGAATCGATTGCCAAAATGAAAATGCACTGTTTCACCTTAATTTAAATTTATATACACTATATATTTATATACATCATATATATGTATATACATCATTAAAATGTTCTTAAAACCTTTTTTAAATATATTAAAATATTTATTGTACAATGTATTTAAACGTTATTTGTGCATATAATGATATGGTTATCATAGGAAACAAACACCTTATAAATGTGACGTTTCGTTGGTAATTATACCTGTCAGTATTCTCATTTTCACAAGAGGATTAAAGCGCATGCTTGTTTTATGATAAATTGTATTCATTAATATTATTTAATTTTATTATATTATCATAATTTTATAATTAAAATTAAAACATCATAAAATATACACTCATCTTCAAGATAAGACAATGTTCAAATAAGAAAAAATAACTCGTAGACATACACAAGCTATTTTGTTTATTCTTTCAGGGTTTAAGGTATCGAGAATCGTCAAATAAATGTTGCTGGCAAGGTAATGTCTGAATATTAGCATGAAGATTGTATAATTTTGGTTATGATTAAAATTCAACATTTATTTCGTCACTTTTTATTTAAAATTTGAGTAATTATAGGGAGCACACCGAATTCATAAAAATCATACTTAGAGACAGATATTTTCTTGGTAAATGTTTATGTGAAACCTTTCCAGACTTCCTCCGCTACCATTATTTCATGTTCTAATGCCGCATATAACAGATTCGCAGTTATTGCAAAGTTTCATTCTTGCAGATAGCTTAAAAAAACAGTTTTGTTTACTCTTCAATATATCATGAATAAATTGTGCAGTTGACCTAATTCGTTTCCATTACGGAATGTAAATTAGAATTCAGTGTGTACACACAGATTATGTGCTATCCACAGATGTGGTTTCCGTAGAATGTATCCCCAAACCGCTTCATCGAGCGGGAATCCTATATTTGCATAACCACCAAGTCTATATCTAATCCCTAAACAGGCACATGGTTTTGGAAGGGGAGCCCCCTTGCTACTTTTTCAAACATTTTAGAATCGAAAATGTTTGTTGAAAAGTTCGTTTCCCTGTTTTATATGAATGGTCAATGAAATCTCTCGGAAATTATCAGCATATTACATTAGTAAATTACTAGTAAATAGATTTGCAATTAATTTAAAATACAGAACTTGATATGAATATTGTCTCATACTTAAATGGGGTACAGTATCTGCTATCTTATCACAGTGTTATTTGATGAATGAATGTGTGTAAACTAACGATTTTACCAAATGCAATTACAAAAAGTGTTTGGTTATATTGATAAGGAAGTCTTTAAAAACAAATCTTTTCATTTTCCTGTTGTAGTTCTTGATTTCTTGAGTTAAAATTATGTTGGTACACAAAAGAAAGCTTAAAAAAGTTTTAGCTACTGATTTGTTGGATTTTTTTGTTTAAATACACATCGCAGCCTAAGAACGGGGGGAAAATAACTAAAGTAGAATTTGCACAACATATGCAAATTTACTTTAATTTTTAGAAGTGTTAAATTTCAGAAAATTACAGTTTACAGAACCTAATAAAACTATTTTTATGGTTGAAAGCATAAGGAAAAATTATTTTTGTTTGCCCCAACACGAAAATATTGCTTCTTCCGAAAGAAGTAACTTTGGTGTCCATTCCATAGATATATCTTCAATAAAGATTATCAAAATTTATTCTTCACTTTTGTTTGCTCTGATGATGTTTACAAGTAACATACAAACTACATGACCCTGCCATCGTTGACACTGACAATGATAAACGCAATTTAGATACAACTTATTTTAAGATACAAAGTTTTTTCCGGCACATACAATGAAGCGCATTGAAGTGGTAAAATTTTCCGTTTTGAAGAAACTGAGTCATGTTTTGAACGTCAATTATAACATAATGACACGCCCATTTCTTTAGATACGAAAAAAAAACCGTTGTAATGTTTATAACACTCCACTCTTCGTAACAAGCAACATGAATTTCATCAAAATGGATTTTTTTTTAAGTTATAAGAGAGTTAGAGGGTTCTCGCTTCTGTAAAACACGTATTGCAACGAATTTGTCCATAATTATGAATTGATCATGTTTATTGGAGTTACCATAACATATGTATCGGTCGAACACGTGCTTATTCGGTTTTTCAGCAGACCGTCAATTTGATTGGCTACTATATTTATGAAATATCTACAGGTACATGTAGTCGACTGAACCATTTGACCGATTTTTCCTTTCTAAAGAAATGGGCGTGTCATTTTATGACAATCATCGTTCTAAAGATAGCTCAAAACATCCGAGTCAAACGGAAAATTTTACAACTTCAATGCGCTTCATTGTACATTTTGCAGTCTTTTCTTACTTTAAAGTAAATTTTTTTTATAAACTTCGCTTTATTCATACATGTATATCTCATAAATCCTTCGTTTTATGATACAATATAACTTTGACTATATTACTAGAAATAGATGCTAATGGTAATCTACCAATAAAGTTTTATGATAAAGTGATGACTCAAAATTTTCAATCGTCAACTTCCCTTACTTGTACAGCAATATACCATTATAACTTGCACAAGGGGTTTATATTTTTCCGTTCAATTGATTCCCAATAGCGTGCTCTATAAATGAATTTTAAATCGAGGAAAAATTTTTGAAAAAAACATACATATCTCAGTTAATTCGATACGCAAGAGCATGCTCTACATATGAACAATTTCTAAAACGAGGTAAATTATTTACAAGCAAGTTGATGAAACAAGAATATCAGCAGTCTCGTTAAAAGTCATCATTTCATAAGTTCTATTGTCGATACAATGACCTTGTCAGCAAATACAATTTATCATTAAGTCAAATGCTGACTGAAGTTTTTCATACCAATTGTTAGTCCATTATTTATACACTGAATTGACAACGGATTTTTTCCTTTATTTCCTGATCATGACAAGGAGCACACGGCGGGTGTGACCGGTGGCATATATATCATGGCAAAACCACCTCTGATGTTCTGATGATTTTCATTCTGATTTGTTTTGTTTTATGGACTTTGAGATTGAATACTGTTCGTTATCTCCATATCCGTCTTTGACTTGTCGACGGATTTTCCCGATATTCCCTGATCATGACAAGAATCACTCGGTGGTATTGATCATCAGGTAATGCTCACTACTCCACGGCATCTGATCCCACCTCCAATGTTTTTAAAAGTTCGTGTTTGCTCTGCTTCAGATTTGTTTTTTGTTCTTCATATTTTTAGCTTGAATACCATTCGTTTATTTATATACATGTATTTCATGCAAAATCGATGCAAGATGACACTTATTTATGTACACAGGTGAGATTATGTAGACATACGATAATAATGCTTACATTCGACCTATTCATGTCGACATTCAATATATGTTTACATTTGAGCTTTTACCCAAAAAGTTCACATATAAAAAAAAGTCTCATTTGAACGTAATTTTCGTGTATGTTAAGAAAATATCTTGCATGTGTACATAAATAAGTCGCCTTTTGGTATAAATTAATAACATGACTTCAAAAATTTGCAAAAATAAATCGAATGTTAACATTGTTACGTTGTAACTCGCATGTTCATAGAAATAACTCACAGGGAAACATCGTAAAGGATACCAGTATATTTGGATAACTGCTAAGATGGTGTTCATTTTACACATCACAACAAATTGTTTAGGGATTGGAATGGTTATTTATTTAGCTAATAAATGAGAAAGAATTATGACAAGAAAAATATATAAAGCAGTAAAAATACAGCAAACTAAAAGCACAATACCATTGCTAAAACAAGAGCCGTGGCTTGTTAAACTTTCCAAAACTGCCACAACCCTAAAAAAATAGAATATAAAGAGTCATACAAATGGTTCTGTAAATAGAAAAATCTAAAGTTACAAAGTAAAATGATTTGGCACATTGTACATACAATGTACCAGAGGCATTTGTACAATACTTTGCATGCAATCTGGTATTGATAAGTATCAGCACTTTATATAATGTTAACTAGAACGTCTTTCTTATTTTATAAAAGAATTACCTGTTGGACGTGAACCAACTACCTGTTGATTATCATAGTCCCAAAAGGTTTAGAACTTTGTCTGCAATTGCACTGGGCCAGCTGTTCAAATATGTTTTGTTATTATACCTGGAGTTTTCCCTTTATTTTCTCTTTTAATAGATACAAATTACTCTTTGTATGAGTTTCAATTTTGAAGATAAAAAAACCTCAAAAACTGCTTTGGACTCTTTGAGTCGATCTTATAAAAATTGGTACTATTCACTGCCGACCCGTCAAGCCCGCCGTATGTTCTTTGTCATGATTGGGAAATTACGGGAAAAACGTCAACAATTTCACTGTGTAAAATCGCTTGACAATATCAATGTAAATACGAAAAACGTAATTCAGCATTTGATTCATGACAGATTTATCTCCATGTCAACTCATGCTACTATTAAATATCATAAAAGCTTTTGAAAAAAATAAGAAAATCATTTTTTATTTCTTGTTAAATTATCACAAAATTACTTTAAAAATACAATGATACATAATGAAAGATGGGAGTAAGTCAAACTCTATTAATTGAGGTAAATAAATATGTCAAAATATAATACAATACAACTTCAAGTGCTTTGCAATATCCATTTATATTTTGTGTTATCACTTTCACCTGCCTCAGTTGCTTTGCTGATCAACATGTACAACATGGGTTTTGTTGACTTGAAATGCTAACTCATCCGTTTGTACTTTATTCGAAGAGTTTTTTGAAAATGTGGAAATTTTTCCACTTAGTTTTATCACATTCATAATTCTTTGCCATAACAGATTCATATATACTACGACTTTTGAGGTGGTGGACAAACTCTGTGTCTGTATTTGGAATGATGTCTTAGTTGGACCTAATGGTGCATCACTAAAGTGTAAGACTCCATGCATCTCAAACTCACTGTCTCTATATATAAGAAAAAGTTCTAGAAATCTTGTATTCAAAGCAAATAATACAAACTCATTAAAGGAAGCAAGAATTGCTGAAGGCATTGCTCATATCCATTCTGTTCACGTACAACCAAAGCATAGAAAATCTCATTTTAATTTTTAAACTATTATATATTCCACCTTCTACTTTTTAATGGACCTATTCTCTCGTAAAATAAAAATAAATGATAGAACTCTCCGTACCTTTTGAATCTTTTCCACAGAAGAACGGCGACAAACGACAACACGGGCAATCCAACAAATAAAGGTATTAAATAGGCGAAGTTAACTAAAAGTGGTAAAAGTTAATTTATAATCTGACACAGTCTAATGAACCATTTATTAAAGCATCTAAAATGTTCTTGTCTTGTTATACCTGGTAAGATGTTTATATCCATAGAATTATTAAACATTTCTTAGCTAATATTTTTAAATAGAAAAGGTCTTGATTTTTTTTTTGTCTTGATTTATGATATTATACTTACATTCCGAACATTCTCTTCCAGAATATCCCGTATCACAGACACAAACGTAGTTATTGATTTCATTAATACACACTCCATGCTTACATGGCGAACCTGCACATCCGTCAATAAAGTTTGCTAAAATGCATAAAATATGCAGGACTTGTACATGCAATTTTAGGCGATTGATAGCTGTTGCTTTGTATTTATTTTTGTATGTAATAGTTAAACATTGTAGTCAAATATTTTTCATAGACGGAGGAAAGCTACTTATGTAAGGGAGTATACCTTCTGCCTCACAATTGACTCCCGTATAGCCAGGTATACACTCACAGCTGTAACCATTGACTTGGTCAGTACACGTTCCATTTATACAAGGAGAAGTGGCGCATTCATTAATATCTGTTAGGAATGATAACAAAACAGATATAAGCAATATGAACTATTTTATTTATAATAGTTCAGAAAACATAATACAGGAGGGAAAAAGATAAAATTATAAATAATAATACGAATTATATTATACAAATCTAGCGCTATATATCAGTGACTAAAATATTTAAAAGAAAAGTTAATTCAAAGTTACTATACATACTTTATCCACTAGCAGTCTGTAAGCGAAGTTTGTGGATGTTATCAGAAAGAGCGAGAGAGAGGGAGAGAGAGAGAAAAAGTACAACAGAAACTATATTTTACACAGAGATAATCTTTTATCTAGAAAATTAATAAAAGTTCAATTCTTGAATAAGACTTCAATGGTGACGGTAATCAGACTGAACAAAAGGAGAGGAGATACATGTATGTACGCCAGACAAGAAGTTTAAACGCAATTGATTCAAGTAGGTATAACCACACTTTTTTTCTCTAATACACTCAGACTGGACACAGAAGAGAAAAAATGCTCCAGGCATTTACAATATTAAGGTTTTTATAAAAATACATTTGATCTAGAAAACTGATTCAAGTTTAGTGCTCAACAATATTACGAACTGGCAATCTATCGGTGAATTTGGACTTAGAAGTGACCAAGAAGAAAGAAATTGCATGGACAAAATTGTTAAGAGATGCATTTGAAATGTATTTTTGATCTTAAATAAGGCTTAATTCCACATCAATTAACTAATGACACGCGTTGGATGAAATTTGGTCCAGATTGAGACATGTGTTTCGTGTCGATAGACAGACATCGATTTCGAGCACTGTCCGTTATTAGTGTATTCATTAAGATTAAACTGATTTTTATTACCATTTTTTAAAGTAATTAGCGCTTTGGAACAATTCTTGCGACGTATGAGTTTAATAGAAAATGTTGGGACTAAGTATAAATCTGAAGAATTGAAACATATGACGATGACAAACGGTATTCAAGATCAAAAGTCCATAAACCATAAACCAATACAAATTAGGAGCACAACAAAAACGTACCTCAAAAACATAGGGGGTGGGATCATGTACAATGGAGGAGAGAGAATCCCCTGCCGTTTTGCAAGACATGCACTAATATTTCTGATAGATGACCGCAGTATTACTTACCGACTTCACAGTTGATTCCAGTATACCCAGACTGACAGGTACACACGTACCCATTGATTCCGCCTACACAGCTACCGTGAACACAAGGAGAACTAGCGCACTCGTTTATGTCTGGAGAAAAAATAAGAAACTCTATACATAATATTCTTCTAATCAAAAATCATTATGTAATTTGTCAATTATATTAGATCATTACCTGTCTGACAGTTTGTTCCCGTAAATCCATCCTGACAATGACACGTATAATGATTAAGGTGATCAGAACAGTTTCCATGGAGACATGGTGAACTTTGGCACTCATTAATTTCTATCCAAAAATTGTTTAATGCATATAAATCAATTCCCTCGTTCAATGCTCCCAAAAATAACACATAATGCAAATAATGAGAAACTGTGAAGCTGACAAGTAAATTTACAATGATTCGTAAATACGAAATTCTAATCGATAAGCTTTTTTGTGTAAAAGCATCACAAGATTTTTTTTAATCTTCAAATATTTCGTTTGTTGTTTAACAAAATGAGTTTTTCACTTACTGATTGAAAGCAGCAAATTTAGATCCATACTCGGCACTCAGCCACCCACAGCTATTGAGCAGTAGGGATATTTTTCTTAGCAGTGCAATCTGTTAGATTTCCCATCGATACTAATTTCGGATGTAATCGATTTATTTTATATTCATATGAAGCAAATTTTATTCAAAAACTTGTACATAAAAAGAGGAAGACTAGCTGCTATGTTATCAACTCGTATGACGACTTACATTGATATCGTAACAAGTATATTGGTATGGTTTCGGCAAAATGGGAAATTAATGTAACTTAAAAAATATTTTTGATTAACTCTTACCAGTTTCACAGTTAACGCCTGTGTATCCACCATAACAGATACATTCATAATGAAGGTATTCATTTGAACAGTTTCCGTGAACACAGGGAGAACTGACACATTCGTCCACCATATCTGTACAAATATTTCAATTTTCTTGGTGAAAACTTGCACGTTTTCTGTTACCATCAACACGAGGAGAATACATTGATACAATTTAAAATCCTATGTTTTATATTTATGTGACCATAATTTATCCAAATTAAAATGAAGCAATTCGATCCTCACCTGTCTGACAGTTTGTTCCTGAAAATCCATCTTGACAGTGGCATGTATAATGATCTAAATGGTCAGAACAGTTTCCATGGATACATGGCGAACTTTGACATTCGTCAATTTCTGGAAAATAAAAGCATTGCTAATAATAAATGAAAATATACCTTACTCTCTTTTTTATTAAACTCATGTTTCTCTTGTCCCCGGGATCATGAAAGAACTTAAGCTAAGGTCAGAATCTTTATTTTGTACTAAAATGTTGTAGAAGTCGTGAAGTCGAAAATAAATACATTTTTCAATATTATTTCACAAAAGTGTTTTATCTGAAAATTCAGAGATTGATTCAATTATACATGTAATTATACATTTTATAGGCGATTAAAAAAATTGTCTAAGGTCAAAGTTTGTCATGATACTGGGGCTTCTTCATGATGATACATTTGGCATAAGTATTTGGAAAGGTTGTAGTTGACAATAATCCAAAGGGAAAAAGTATCAGGTTTCATCAGACATTATATATTACATACGATAGAGAGAAAAGAAATGCAAATACATATAGTTCATTCAGGTTGTAGATCAACAAGATTATTTTTCCTAAAAGAGGAGTAAAAACTGCTAGAGAAAAATTGAATTTGTTTTCAAGATTGCTCCCTTCCTGTTTTGTTTTCTTGTAGATTTAATATCATATTCATTTTAAATGCTAGAAAATCCCTAGGCAATAAAGTCATATTTCGCTTGATATTTTTTTTTTGTCATATAAAAAATTCATATATTTGCATAATCAAAGGTTTCGAAGGAACATAAATAAAAAGCAGTATTCTCATTTATGTTTAAAGGTAATGAAAACTTATTAACAGTTTTATCTTTGACATAAAACATAGAACAGTAAATATATCATTCGTTTGAGATTATGATTGTTGCTTAGAAAAAAATAGGAAAGGTGACCATCAAGTTATCATTATTGTACAAAACTTGACAACTAATCTTACCAGATTCACAATTTACACCCGTGTATCCAGGGTCACAGATGCATTCATAATACAGGTATTCATTGGAACAGTTTCCGTGTACACAAGGAGAACTGGCGCATTCGTCAACGATATCTGTACAAATAGCAAAATAGTTCAGCCATTTCCTTTCATTTCCATAAAAACGTATACGAATAAATGATTTAAAAGAACAATTGACGTGAAGCCAAATTTGATAAAACAAACCTGCATTAGCTATTTTAACCTGGTCCACTCTAAATACAAACTGTCCAGGAATTCCAATATTAGACATTTGAGGAAGATTTAACACTGCATCTGTCATAGAACCATTAACTGAATAGTAGTGTTCTCCATCACCAGCGTTAAACCCCACCTTCCAGAAGGCAAAATGCAACATTATGTGTACGCGAACAAGGGATTCTTAGTATGTAAACTAGAAAAATAATGAACAGAAATAATGATAACTTTATTTCTATTACCTGAGCAGATTTTGTCCAGTTGATTTTGTTGTAATTAAATACAACAAATGAATAATTGCCATTGTTGATTAAAACGAGTTGAAATGTGTTTCTCTGTAAAGGAAGAAATGTCATCAATAAAGCACAAGTGCGATTTCATTCCCCCAAAATTGCTTTGTTTGTGTCAAAAATAGCCTCTTATTAAAAACCAATTAAATTATAAATACATTTAATAAAAAAATAAAAAGATGTGAAGTAATATAAAAAAATATACTTATATAGCATAATTAGTCCAGGATGCTAGCACAATCCTTAATTTTCATAAGAAGCAGTAATATGAAACACAATATTATGTATAATGCAGATACGGAGATTTATATATGATAGAAATAAAATCTTACCTGCTGACAAGTTATGGAAGAACAGCCGTATGCAGCTACATCCTCCCATGTGGTTACCATCATCCACGTGGCAGTAAAATTGAAAATGTCAGGAAACAGAGAGTTGATTTTAGCCGTCCCTCTTTGTAATATGGTCGCTTCTGTTGTTGTGCGATACCATAATTTACCTCCTTGCCTTGTATCTATATCAGTCCAGAATGGTGCTATGATTCTATGAGAGCCATTTATCGGAAAAGGTTGTGAGGTAAACTGCCTCAATGGAGTCTCAAATGTAACATCACCGTTGTTATTGACCTATTTAATCAGAAAGTACGAACATCTTGAATAAAACATCTCATAAAAATACAATTGTCGTTTTTGAAAATGTCATTTGTTGTTTGTTTTATGCCTGAATGTTTTTGCACGATTTAAAAAAAAAAGAATGCAAGTTATGATTAAAAACCAAGTAAATTATGCATGCATATTCATTTTTTTTAATTCTATACGTACATAGATTGAATTGTAAGATGATCCAAAGAAAGGAAATGGCACAGATATGGGAATTCTTGAAGTAGAGCCGTCGTCATTTGCAGGCAATTCATTGTCTCCAGCAGCTGAACTAAAGTTATAAAAATCAGACAATGGGTAGCAGGTACAAACATTAAGAATTACTGATACTGTAACAAAGATAAAGCTAAAGTAAAACATCATTGCAATTTTAGAGTGTAGATTATTTTGAATTTCAAGATGTTACTTTTATATGGAAAATCAGCAGGGAAAAGAACTAGGAAGAATAGAAACAACCAATGCCATCACGTCTTACCAACAAGCAGGTACTTCTAAAATATCTTACAATATTTCTACTCCTAAATCAAACTTCTAATTCCTCTTGTCTTGACCTCAAACAACTTTATGAATGTTTGTCTACTAATTTTATTGCGTGAGAGTTAAGTATAAAGGGGTTGTCAAATCATTAGGGGGGCTAATAAATAAATATACAATATATGTAGCTGCCATATCTAAATACTTCTTTCTAAATCGGTAACCTCATAGTCAATATATTTGACATACTTTGTACAAAACTTACGGCCTACGCAAAACATTAAGCTTTTGATAAAAGTCCAACACTGTTATCATCACTCTCTAGCTCTGATTTTTTTTTTTGAAAAACAAACACGATAAAAAATTTGTTTGTTAATAGTTATTCTTGTATAATATGTTTTCTCCCAACTTAATAAATAATCAACGGGAATAATTCGGTAACCTCATAAATATTGTTTACTACAATTTTTTTCTTACTCTATTAATTACAATATAAAGAAGTATAATGATCAATAACATGTTTAATGTAACATCAGTACTGATTTGAAAATAGATCACATGTAAATGATACATATAATGGTCTTAAAAACGAAATCTTACTTTGAAAAACAATTTACAGGGTTTTCTATATTTATGTATTAATGTCAACAGAAGAATATAAATGGTAAAAGGTATACGACTAAAGTTTATCCTAATCCCGATCATCCTTGAAGGAAAGTCCAACTCAATTTCTAATTGTATATCAAATGGTACTTTTTAACTTCTTTGTAAACATTATTGCTTTAATTTTTCGGCATATTCTTTAGATAAAGTATGAAATTTGATTTGATAATAATTTTTCCAATCTAAGAAAGAAAAACAAGAGAAAGTCATATTTAAACTGAATTTCAAATACAAATGAAGCTTTCAAAAACTGTAATGGTAAATCAAAATATTATCTGTTATAAAATATCTCAAAAACATGTTAAAGTATTGAAATCTACTATTTACATCGAATTTGGAAACCCAACGATTGGGTACCTTATTATATCTTTATGCATGATTATTTTTTATTGCAAAGGACAAGTGCACTTAAGCAATACTTAATGGGCCCTTTTTATGTGCCAGTTTACTTTAGAATATATAACCGAATCGTTCTCTATTGGTAATAGTTAGATACTAGTGGATATTTCTAATTAAAAAGCATGTTAAGCATCACTAAAATCAGCATGGATTTGAAACAATTGAATTTTTTAAAATGCCTAGGGGCTAATCATAGTCGGGCACGTTTGCGAAAAACCTGTTTTAAAAATATTGAATGAATTTGTGTAGTTGCCTGTAACTATAATGATTAAACAAAGAAATTGGTACTCTTGCATTTGAAAAATTACAATAATAATTTCATTTAATTTGAAATTGAAAAGGAGTGTTTAGGTGGCTTTCAATACCAGTTTCTTTGTATTGCACGAAGGATAAAAATGTTTAACATTAAACTCTCTGTACCCTCCGGTGTTCTTAAAAACAAATACACACAAATATCTTAAGCATGCCTGACTTACTGATACAAAGCCTGCCTATGTTTTACAGTGAGCACCTTTGAGGAGTGTTTAATTATCTGGGTAGAACTCACGTGAATATCAGTATTTTAAATAATTTATTCCACTCTTGGATTCAACATGGGTCATACAGGTAAATAGCTCTCACTTGCCATAGGAAAAACATTGCACTTTTTATACATTTTTTAATATTTGAAGTACCAGCCTAATCGTGTGCAAATTTCATACTTTCACACAAGTTTTATAAATGTTTTATGCGTCTTTTGTCATTCGCACAAGTTTGCACAACGTTAGGCTCATAGTTAACGAAAGCTTTGAAATGAATGACCGTCCTCGATTTACTATAGAAAATCACAAATGTCGGCTGACCCCTACCACGTTGTATAATTTTGTTCTTTGTATATTCGTGGATTTCACGGGTAAAATTTGTTGAATCGTATGGTTTAAATATCAATTAATGATTTGAGATGAAAAATTTTGCTTAATTTGACTGTTTATTTTTTCATATTTTAACGGGGCCCTTAAGTGCACTCGTTCTTTCCTTTTTCAACCAAACGTTACACAATGAATTCTCTCCAGATTTTTCTGTTTGTCCAATCATGACAAGGAGCAAATAGGGAGCTCAGGGTTTGCCAATCCTCCACTACAACAGATCCTCTTACCTCTATAGGTAATATTTCAGAGATTTGTGTTCGCCCTGTTCGCGATTTGAATTGCTTCAATGGACTTTTGAGCTGTTTTCCCTCATTTTTCATAAAGAGATAGAAATATTCTAATTAGCGATATTAATTTGTTGTTTGATAAATTTATCACAAGCAAAAAATGGTCTCATTTACTTTATAAATCAATCTGGAATTACACACTATTGGAAAATAAACATGGAGAGCTCAAATATTAATGTCCATTAAACAACAAAGAATATAAGAGCAGAGCAAACACGTACTTCCAAAACATCATATGTGGGTGGGATCAGGTGCCATGGAGGGGTGAGTTCCCTGCCGACCGGTCACACCCGTCTTGTGTTCGGAAAATAACGGAAAATTTTAATCCGTCGACAATGAAATTCAGTGTGCATACATGTATAATGAACAAACTATTAGTATGAAAAACGTCAGTCGCCTTTTGACTTAGTGAAAAATTGTATTTGTTGACAAGGTCATTGTATCGACCATAGAACTTACAAAATGAAAACTTTAAACGAGTCTGCTGATATTCTTATTTCAATCTTGTTTATCAATAACTTACCTCGTTTATATATGTTCATACGTACAGCATGTTTTTGTGTATCGAATCATTTGAGAGATACATTGTATAAAAACTGAATAAAGATGGTGAATGAATGTTTATTGCAGCATGTATTTATTGATCTTTGATGCTGTCTAAATTGGTCTAGACGCCCTTTTCTGAGACGTACCTCAGAGTGAGTTCACCTCAAATGAATTTCCGGGAGGTTCATTCTGATTTTCCTCTTGACCAACCATAAATTTGCTTATATCTTCTTCGACCAATCAAATAAAACATCTGTTGTGAATGTAAACATGTCAGAAAACCGTACCGAAGACACTACATTTACGTTTCCTTCTTTATGAAATAGTTGAGTATTATTGTTTAATTATTGTCCATTTCTTGTTGTCCACTTCTAAACAATTGATAAACTATTAAAATATAATTAATATGTGTTGTTGCACTACGCATTATAATGTAAGTGTTTATATTTGATGATGACAAGAGCTAAAGTGTCAATAACACAATTGTATAATTCCTAATTATTTAGTACAACGACTTTCGAATGTGGTCTACTTGTGAATATACGGACCTGATCAGGTTTTGGTTAACCTTGGCTTTCGGCCTCAACTTAATACCTTACTAGGTTCATATAGTGACAAGCAGACCTCATCAAAAGTCTATACTAGTAATTGTCTAAAGTAACAAGTTGACTATTGAAAGGTTGAAGCTATCTCGTTTGTCATTTCCATATGTTTCATAAAGTTTGGTTGTTAGATTACCATTAACGTCTTTTTCAAGTAAAATATCTAAATACGATAATTCACGAATATTTCACTTAGAGAATATTATCTCTCTAATCAGAAGGTCTTTTCACTTCAAGAGAAGATAGCCCTGTCCATTTATATAACGTTTGGTATTCCAAAATATGTTTTATAGATACTTGCTGTGGATGTGCAGTTTGACACAAATGAAAACACAACGTTGTAATTTGAATGGTCATTTTTTATAAATAAATAAAGAGGAAAAAAATTCAATACAGTAAAATTAACAATACCATACACAATTAAGTAAGGTTAACAAAGTAGAAATATACATGTAAACTAGTAGAAAAACATCATACAATGAGGTTAATATGCATGTTACAAAATGCAAACAAAGGGCATACTTCAAATCAGAATAGTGACAAATAAGTGGCAACATAAACTGCAAAAAGTCGACACTAATTTTTTAAATTACATTGAGAGATCGGGAGGTTGGCATCAACAGAAAATTGTAAACATTGTGTACAGCGAGAAATAAAGATAGAGACTGACGTTACCTTTATTATTTAATTGTAAGATATAAAGGGAGTACAGGGAGTACACACCTAACACAAGAGTAATGAAATAGCAGTACAAAAGCTATCAAAATCCGTAAATAACCCGTAAATGATTTTATAGATATTTTTTTGCTTAATCTGAAGGAACTAAAACATAATGAAAATGTCATTTAAATGTTGTTCGTAGAGGTAAAACACTGTACTTATGAAGAATTCATAAGAATGATTCAACCGATAATTGTTTTTATAGGTGTATTGGAAGGCTATTAATAATAAAAATCACGAAAGAGTTACCAAATCCCACTCTATCACTTATTATAATAAAATACTGGTATTGTGTTTCCTCTGTCATATTTAAAAAGAATAGTCGGTCGTCCAGCTCTTTAAAAAATATCTACCAAAAAATTGCATCAAGTATATAATTATATTATAATATATATGATATTAGATAGATTATTATTCTAAGCCTTTTTCAAGAGTTGTACTGTACATACAGTAATATAATAATATCACTGTTGTGCTGAGTATTCGGGGTATTAAAATAAACTAAGGCCATCTTTGAAAGTTTTTTCGTTGCACTCCGCCGACCGATGGCTACAATGAAATGTTCTAACTCCATTTTTTAACATCCAAGATGCTGTTATATTTTTTATGTACTCTGGAAAATAGATTTTGATAAATATCTTAAAAATTGTAATTTATCATAACACATCAAAGTCAAATCATACAAAAGTTCATAGCGACCGAATAATTGTAAATTATGATAAATTCAAAAGCTTCATTTTACTTTCTGCTATAACTCCTAGTGT